CTTGGTGGAATTGTACAGTGCAGAGAAGTTACAGTGCTTGCACCCCTCACCCCCTCCCCTAAAAAAAGGCATATCTTTCATAATTTGCCACGTTCTCTCATGTTTGTATGTGTGGTTGGACTTGCAAGTGCAGTCTGTGCTAAATGTTAATCTTAATATAATTCCTAAACCTTAACAATGGCTTCTGCATGGACTTAAGAATTGGGGAAATCTTATCTCTTCTTTGCTTAATCAAAGTTTCTACTTCTTTGGTTAAACAGAAAAAAACTCAACTAACCGAATTAAATAAACAGAAATTAGGGTTGTTGGTTTCGTTCCGGTATTGTCTGGTTTCAATCTATTGACTAGTTTTTGTATATTGACGATCGCGAATGGAGTAAACTGAGTTGGGTAGGTTGTTCTCGCTTTTGTTATACTTATCCGGATTAGTTGATCAATAATGAAATCGGATGGTTATAAAAAACCTATTGACTAGTTTTAATGATATATATATAATATAATTTATTTTATTAAAATCTAAAATTTAGAGCCACATGATAATTTTTTAAAGTGGAGGAGGCGAGTTGCGTGGTGAGTTGTGGTAGACTTGGTTTGGGGGCATAAATATAATGAAAAATGATTAAATTATGATATGAATTTGTCAATGATTTGTTTTGGTATTAACTTTACATAAAACATTGAAGCATCGTTTGAATTTCATTGCAAAATACAAACAATGTTTTACCAACAAACTCCACTGGTGGTTTTAGTTTCACCGCTCAAATTACTATTAAACTGAAAATAAAATATTTTATTTAATTTAATTATAAATTTCAAAATTTATTTTACAAAAACTATTCAGTTTAATCTTAACTTTAAATTTTAAACTTTAGATCTAAATATCAAATTCTAAAATAAAAAACAAATAAAAGTAAAAGGTAGTAAATACTTGTCCATTTTTCATGTACTCAAATGGAAATTAAAATATTAATTTTAAAATCTGAATAAATAGTAATTTCTTTAAAAATGATTTTCAAATCTTCAAAAGACGAAAAAATCTAATCGGATCCATTATCGCCTATAGAATAGGTGCATTTGAATCAACATCACTGGTCTAGCTTAAATCAAACCAAGGTCATTATTGTAACATTACCTTTTTGTCTTGAAAGTTTCTTTCTGGCCTCCTATGCCTTTCCGAAAACCTCAATTCCCCGTGATTTTTTTTCTGTTCCTGTTTTCCTTCCATCCAAACAGAAAACTAAAATCCCATTTAGACAGAGCAGAGTGAAATATCTTAATTTCGTTACCGTTTTTATAGCATTTTTTGGTTTGCTAGGGATTCTCTAATTCTTTTTTCCCCCTCTCTTTTAGTTGTTGCCCTGTAGTAATTACTTTTCTTCGTCTCTTGAATCGAATTTGTTTCTAGGGTTTATATGACTATATAGATCATTTTAGGGGCTTTGTTTTCTCTTATTCCCTTTTTTCTTCCTCTTTTAGCTCGTTTCTTGCGCTCTTTTGGATCTATTCAATTTTTCAATCAATTGTAAGTTGGAAAAAAGCCTGTTCCGTCGTTTCTGTAACCTTAGTTTTAATCTAGAGAGTTGTAATATTAGAGGCATTACATTGTGGATAGATCTTTTTTGTACATATTATTGCACTGTTTTCTTTAATTACTATTATTTACTGTCCGTTGCTTGAATCTGTAAATGATGTATAAAAGAAATGTTTGTAATCTGAAGCCTTTCATGTTGAAACCTTAGATAATTGTGGATTTAGGGTTAGGGCTTTTTTTAGATATGATCAAGCAGATATTTGGAAAGCTACCTCGGAAACCATCGAAATCATCCCATAATGATTCAAATGGTGATGGAGGAGTCCATGGTAATTCCTCTCCAGGTCCCAATTCTTTGAACAACTCGAAGGCCGGATCGGCTTCTTCAAAATCCTCCAGTTCATCACGATCGAACAATGGCCCTCTTAATTCACATTCATCCGGTTCGAATAAATCAAATCATGGGAAGAAAACAGCCTCTCTTGCAATCCAAGCTGGTACTGTATTAGCTTCAGGTGTTTATGAGGCTTTGCCTAGTTTCCGGGATGTCCCAAATTCAGAAAAGCAGAATCTTTTCCTCAGGAAGTTGGGTATGTGCAATGTGGTTTTCGATTTTAGTGATCCATCTAAGAACCTCAAAGAAAAAGACATAAAGCGGCAGACGTTGTTGGAGCTTGTTGATTATGTCTCGTCTGTTTCAACCAAGTTCAATGAGGTTGCAATGCAAGAGATTACAAGAATGGTGGCTGCTAATCTATTTCGAACTTTTCCATCTCCGAATCATGATAGCAAGATTCTAGAAATGTATGATGCTGAAGATGAAGAGCCAGCCATGGATCCTGCTTGGCCTCATCTTCAGATTGTCTATGAACTTTTACTTAGATTTGTTGTCTCACCAGAAACTGATGCTAAGCTTGCTAAGAGATATATCGATCATCCATTCGTGTTGAAATTGTTGGATTTATTTGATTCGGATGATCAAAGAGAGAGGGAGTACCTAAAGACAATTCTACATCGGATTTATGGGAAGTTCATGGTCCATCGGCCATTCATTAGAAAAGCCATCAACAATATCTTCTACAGGTTTATTTTTGAGACAGAGAAACACAACGGTATTGCTGAATTACTTGAAATCTTGGGAAGTATAATCAATGGCTTTGCTTTGCCTTTGAAGGAAGAGCACAAGCTCTTCTTGGTCCGTGCCCTGATTCCTCTTCACAAGCCCAAGTGTGTTTCAATGTATCATCAGCAACTTTCTTATTGCATTACTCAGTTTGTTGAGAAAGACTTCAAGCTGGCTGATACCGTCATCCGAGGCCTTCAAAAGTATTGGCCTGTAACTAATAGCTCAAAGGAGGTAATGTTCCTTGGAGAGTTGGAAGAAGTTCTTGAAGCAACTCAGGCAGCAGAATTCCAACGATGTATGGTTCCCCTTTTCCGTCAGATCGGTCAGTGCCTCAACAGCTTGCATTTCCAGGTACTTATGTTTTTCCTTGTCACTTTGTTATAGCGTTTTGCTTTCTTCTATGACTAAATTACACTGTACTTGATATCTATAGCAATATTGTTTTCCTTTGCTTGAGGTCTTATATTGTATTTTCCTCCCCAAATGTTGCTGTCGGAGTTTTTTGCACATCTGAATGGAAAATATGCTCCCCTCCAACAAGTGTTATTACACTTGGTGCTTTATAGTTTATTGGTATAATATGATTCACCCACATTTTTTGTCCTGATGAGATGTGGACATACTGAGAAATATATCACTTTAACTTGTCTAAGAAAGCAATGGATCTTAGTGTTTACAGCAGATGACAGAAGGGGTTTACTTTCAGGGGGAAGATGTGTATTTTATCCTTCCTGAAGATATCACTGTCATCTAGACCATGAATGGCATTCATGAAGAATGCTTATCGTCTGAGCTTCAACCTTGCTGTCTATACTTGATGAATAGTGTCAGATATCTTTAGGTCAAATTCTATTGAAGGACCATGCACTGTGTTTTTGGCAGACTTGGTCCCTCTATTGTAATTTGATCATTCCTAGTCGTCTAATTTTTTTGGGTAACCGCATCAAATAATGTGATGTGGATTTTTTAACATACAATAATTTGACATATACTCCTTGGTATTTTTATATAGCTAGACAATTCTTTTGCAATTAAAAAAAGAAAAAAAGGTAAAATATTTTTTCCAACTGTAACAAAAAATGGCAAGGTGTATATGTTACATTATCACATGTTTTTTTAATTAAAAAATAAGTCACAATAAATTATTGACAGACTGAACGGGTAGAAGTTACCCTCAAAATGAAAACACATTTCAAAAAAATGTAGAGATTAGAAATGATCAAATTATAGTAATGAGAACAGATCCACTAAAACCTTCCGTACAATTTGACCATAAGTTTTCAAGCAATTCATATTTGAGTTGAGAGGCTGATGGGTATTTTGCTAATGAGTTGTATATTTTTTGTTCTAGAAGGTTGATCCTATTCTAATAGCCTTAAATGAATTGAACACTGTCAAATATCTTCTGAATTGACTGCCATGAATGCTCATTCTTGCTTAAAAGGAATGTTATATGCTGGTGAATTTTGGTCTATCATGCTGGTTTGAGTATTATAATTTGTTATAACATGTTATCTTGGCAGGTAGCTGAACGTGCATTGTTCTTGTGGAACAATGATCACATAAGAAATCTCATCACTCAGAACCGCATAGTAATACTCCCTATAATCTTCCCGGCATTGGAGAGAAACATGCATCACCATTGGAATCCGGCGGTTCAGAGCCTCACATTGAATGTGCGGAAGATATTCTTGGATGCTGATCAAGCCCTCTTTGATGAATGTTTGGCCAGATTCCAAGAAGATGAAGCGAAGGGAAAAGATATGCAGGAGAAGCGAGAACTAATCTGGAAGCGGTTGGAAGATGTGGCTTCATCTAAAGCTGTTAGCAACGAGGCTGTACTGATTTCAAGATCCATCTCTTCCACTGTCATTGACACAAGCCCAACTCCAAAGGCAACGACAGGTCGATGAGAGATGCAACAAATGCAATTTGTAAGAAGTCATTCAATCCATCATAATAGTGAAATGATCCTCCAGTCCAGGGTGCAACCGAAAGGGTACAGCACCATGGGAATTAGTTGATGTCGCTTTTGTTTTTAACAAGTCTCTGACCTCTCCTGAATGGCAATTGGTGGGGTTCTCTGAATATCAAGGTTGCCTCTTCTTTCTGGCTGGGTTTACTCATATTTTTATCTTCCTTTTACCCCCTTCCTCTTCCATGATTAAGTTTCAAGTTCGTGTATTATGACGGGTTTTAGTTTACGAACACATTTCTTTGGATTTACTATTATATCCATATTTATTTGTGTTGATTGGTCGAACAATATGTTTTTTGGAGCTTGGTTTTCGAATGATATTTCCAATACGAAGAATGAAGTGAAAAACTATTACGAAGATGGCCTGAATTCAATACGAGAGAGACTACGGGTTTTCTAATAACTGTTTAAACACAATACACTAACATCACACAAACACGAATTGTTGAATTGTTACGTCTAAGTGAATAAATGCAGAACAATCATCAAGCATGTGTTGAAAGCTATTACTAATCATCTCCATAAGCTAGGAAACTATACCGCTCTTGGTATGGACCATTGAAGTAAAGATCGGCTTCGAACCACTTGGGATAACGAACAAGGTCCCCGGCAACGAATTGCATAAACCGATCGCTACCTTCAGGGACAACCCTTACTTCCCCTTCCTCAATGTAAACCAGCTGATCAACTTGCCAGTCCCATGGCAATTTACACTTGCCTGTCTTCCATACCGACCATCTCGAAACCCCGAGCTCCGTTAATCGCTCTTTCAACACTTCCCTTTCGACCCTCACGCTGTAAAGTTCCTCTAATGGTTTCTCCACTCTCATTTCTTTTACTACACAAGCTGAAGTTGCCCCATTGCCAATACCAACAGCAACACCGTTGTTGGATCTGTTGGTTCTCTCGAAAGAGAGGTAGCCAAGACTTGCGGTAGATATCATGCTTGCCATCTTCTTTAATTTCCTGGATGCAAATTTAAAGCATAGTCAATAGTAAATATTAAGAATTAATCCCAAATCGCTGTTGAACATGCTCACAAAACCCAGATATTGGACTAAGAGCCTGAGGGAATTTGTTTTAAAATATTTCTCTCTTTGCTTGAATTGATTTTAATAATATCACTTGAGCCAACACTGCATGAAAATACGTGCAAATCCCAGGTTCTTAAGGTCCAGTTTCCTTAAAATTTAATTATGGTTATTGAGAGGTCTTTTGCCTCCCCGCTTTCCCATATTTTCTTAGATGCCAAACACAAGAATAGCAGAACATAGAACAAAAAAAAACACAAGATAACCTAAAAGGAGAGAGGAGAAGAAGGTAGATTTGTTTACCTGTTGAAGTATTTATGAAGTATAACTTTTATAGCCGAAGACAAAGGCGAAGACTGAACATCAGAGTGAAGCTGCTTCTAAAACCACCCCTTTTAGGCTTCAGTTGAGGGATTTCTCTGATTATCCACTAAAACGTAACTTAACTCTAAACTCACCTGGAGGTGACCTTTTAACTGTCACCGCCGCTCTCACTAACCTGTTCTCTCGGTCATTTCTTTCTTTTTTATTTTTGGACCCTTGGAGACCAGAAAAAGACAACCATGAACGTGTCCTCTCCTCTTGCACATAAGCTTCCCATTTTGAATGGTTTGATAATAAGTAAATAAAAAAGCAGAGATTTTGGAAGTTTTCAACATGTTTTCTGGAACCATGATGATGGTCTCGCTGAGACCCTTCAATAAGGTCTCTCCATATCCATTGGTTTACAGAAACAGGCAAACGGCTCCAAGGACTACTATCTACATGAGTACTGAAACACAAGCAGTTCCCTCCAGAACCCAGGTCATTATACTTTTCTACTTGAGTTTCTAGATGTTCTCCAAGAAAATGACACTCCCTAGATAAAGGGATTTCTAGTTGAAAAGTATATTTTGTAGAAGCTATGATTATGTTTAGTATAGCAAATGGTTGGTTTCTTGAATCCACGCCTTATGATGATTTAGTTGTTTTGTTTGTATAGAAGGAAAAAAAATCTTATGTGGGTGAACAATTCGTGTTTAAATAATGAGTTTGAAACAAGAAAATTGGTCGTTATTGCAGAGAATAATGGAAAGCATTTCAGTTGGTGGTGAGGCTGGGAGTGCTGGGGGTGCATACTCCTACAGTGCATACTCCTATAGTGCCTTGAAGAGGTTGGACAAAATTTGGTCAAGCATTTGCTCTACTCAGGCCAGTACGTCACATTGTGTTCGGCAAGGTTTAAAGTGTTAATTTATGCTTTAAAATTGGTAATTGCAGTTCAGCAAGAACCACAGCAGGTAGTTTCGAGCTTTCCCGGTGTGTTTAGCCAGTCTGTTCTTGCTGGAAAACAAGTAGATAACTGTGATGTGGTAGTTTGTGGGGGTACACTGGGAATCTTCATTGCTACTTCTTTGATTGCCAAAGGTCTTAAAGTCAGTATCTTGGAACGAAATATATTAGAAGGGGTAAGTTTTTTTTTTTTTTGATAGAGTTCATTGTAGAGATCTTTATAGCAAGAATAATCTGCTTCAAAATGCTTTTCTTGAAGGAGATGCTAATAACATGTTGATTTTAGAGGGAACAAGAATGGAATATCTCTAGGAAAGAGTTGATGGAACTTGTAGAATCTAGCATTTTGAATGAAAATGACATTGAAGAAGCTACTGCTGTGTCATTCAATCCTGTAAGTTCCTGAACTTGATGAATTGATTAGTGTTTCTCGGGGTAGGCTTATTTGTAGAAGCTGTCTTTCATTTCATTAACTGCTCAGAATAAATGTAGATCCGAGAATAAGGGTGAGATCTGGGTAGAAGACATTCTTAACCTCGGTGTCTCGTGAGTAATTCTCCTCTTTTGAATCTGCATTATAGAAACTAGATCTGTTCTTCTGGACTTCACTTATTTATATGTTTAATATTTGCACCATGATGTAAAACTGTGACATCAATTAATGAAAGGTTACAAACACAAATTCTGCTAAAAGCTTCTCTCAACAACAAAGTTGGTTTTCTATATGAAACGAAATGGCTGCGTATTGAGTGCTGTGCCACTAGCAAGTAAACAAAGAGATGCTTCAAATGCACTGGCCATGTTATTTATGATTTCTTTCCTTCATTACACGAAATTTCATCCATATTTCAGTATTAGGAGGCTTCCTTTGTTCTAACTGTATGCTTCATTATTGGATGATAATTGTTGTAACACTGTTTTTTTTACCCGAGGTCACTGTAGTTATTAACAAATATTTTGCTCATTGTATTTTAAAACTTAATTACGACAATCTCTAATTGATATTCTGTCCATTATTCCAGGCCTGCAAAGCTTATAGAGATTGTGAAGGAAACGTTTTGTTTCCCTTGTTGGAGTTATCTTTGAGGGTTGCAGTGTATCCAACATAAGCATTTATGACGATGCAGCTGTGAGTTCGCTGATATTTCCGAAGTTGTATAGTTAATATTGCAGAATACGGATACTCTCATTGATCAACTACGTCCAACCGATAGACTAATTCTGTTTTCTTTCTTGAATTTGATGGATGACATCCCTAAAATTCATGATTGTAAAGGTCAAAACTCTCCAGTTAGAAAACAGAGTATCATGCAGATACAACAAGCCATTTGCCCATGTTCCCCCTTAGCAGGGGGCTCTTCAAGCATACCTGATAAAACATTGTTCTTATTTTATATGAGACTTCTATATCAACACTACAATACTACTAAAACCTTGAAAGGAATTTGATAAATTGCAAACTTGGATTAGATTTTTCATTAATAAGCAACTAAGACGATTACTTGTTGTCACCTATGGTTTACAGGTCTTGCAATTTGCTGAAGGAAACATTATTTCATCTCGTCTTGTCATTGATGCCATGGGAAACTTTTCTCCAGTGGTGAAACAGGTTAGGTTCCCTTTCTTATATATAGTTCATTTATATCTCATACAGTTCTTGAATATGCTCCTACTATGTGGAACTGGAGGATTAATTGAACACAACATTACTAAATTTGGCATGATACATCCATTTATTAATCTAGTGGATGTGCCTGCTTTTATTTAATAGTTGTAATTTTGAGATTCAAAAAATATGTTCATATGACTGTTCTACAAAACTTTTGGATTGTTCTACAAAAATATGTTCAAATGCTGTATATTGATGTTTTGTTTTTTAATTACAGATTAGAAGTGGGAGGAAACCAGATGGTGTTTGTCTTGTCGTTGGCTCCTGTGCTCGCGGATTTAAGAACTCTACTAGTGATGTCATATGTAGTAGTTCATCGGTGAAGAAAGTTGGCAATGCAGAAGTACAATACTTTTGGGAGGTAAATTGGCTCTTTGCAGCAGAATTAGCATTGAGTGGAAATGTTAAGCCTTTTACGAATGTACATTTTCATATTTTATAGGCATTTCCATCTGGGTCCGGTCCCTTAGATCGCACTACTTACATGTTTACTTATGTTGATCCTCAACCGAGTTCCCCAAAACTGGAAGAACTATTAGAAGACTATTGGGATTTGATGCCAAAATATCAGGTTCATTTGCTGATCTGCAGTCAATTCTATTGCATTATTCTGCTGCATTTTGATCATGTTGGATCATTCACTTTTTCTTGCGGTGAAGTTCTTGATCTCCTACCTAGCAACATATTATAAAAATTGGTGAAGTTCTTGATCTAAATCATCATTTTTCTTGAAGTACTCGTGTCTAACATCCATATCCAGCTCATATCCAAACACGGGTATGTGGTTATGATCTTCTAATGACCCTTAATATTCATGGAAATCTCGAAAAAAGATGAACATACCCGTTTTATTAATAGACATGTCCGAGTCCGACATTTACATCCTACTCTAAGTGACACTAGTATATAACAACAATAGGGGGGGAATAAAAAAAGGGAGAACTCCATGCTTTAGTCTGGTTGCTATAGAAGCTGGCTCTTTATACATATACTTTATCCTTAATTTAGGACTTATATTTGTGTAGGTAGTTTCTTTGGTTAATCTGGAGATACTGAGAGCTATATAAGGCATTTTCCCAACAGATCGTGATAGGTAACGATTTCATTAATTTGGTTGAATGTGCTGAGTGGAATATTCTGAGTGTTTTATGTGATCAACTTGACAGTCCATTGCCAGCGGCATTTAATCGCGTTTTACAGGTTATTTTTCCTATAAGCTTTGAAATCTTCCAATAGATTATTCGTCAGAAATAGAATGCATTTTTCATGAATTTATTTTTTGCAGTTTGGTGATGCTAGTGGCATACAATCCCCTGTTTCTTTTGGTGGTTTTGGGAGCTTGACTAGGCATTATGTGATCAACTTGACAGTCCATTGCCAGCGGCATTTAATCGCGTTTTACAGGTTTTTTTCCTATAAGCTTTGAAATCTTCCAATAGATTATTCGTCAGAAATAGAATGCATTTTTCATGAATTTATTTTTTGCAGTTTGGTGATGCTAGTGGCATACAATCCCCTGTTTCTTTTGGTGGTTTTGGGAGCTTGACTAGGCACCTCGGAAGATTATCAAATGGTACTTTCTTGTTATTTGGTAAATTTGATAGCCAATGCTTGCGCTTTCTCATGGATTGAACAAAACCATTTCAGGAAGAGATAAACTTTTATGATAAGTGTAACCGTAAATGAAATCACAATGCATAAACTCCTATTCATGCATAGTTTACAACTCCTTACAGACGGTTGACCTCGATCCGTTTCTTTTTTTCTTCCTTTTTTGTCCATTGTCCTTAAGACTGCACCAGTATAGAGTTGTTGGTGGGGGAATCGGAAAACATGTATTTTTAACAATTTCAGAAAGGAAGATGTACATGGTAATCAAAACCTGGGCAGAATAAGCTGCTTTAGTCTCTTCTACACAATGAAACATATTTGGATTTGTAGATATAAGACAGCTTAAAAATGTGTGTAACCTTTTCAAGAGCAGGGATTTATGAAGCAATCGATGGAGGTTTTCTCGACTCGTACAGTTTGTCCCTGCTGAATCTTACATGGTCAGTAACTTCCTTTTTGGTGCTATAAGGTTTAAGCGGCTTTCCCTTATGGCTTTTGGAATCTAATTAAATCCATTTGCTGCAGCCTAACTTGAGTTCTCCGTGGCTATTTCAAAGGGCGATGTCTGTGAAGAAACAATCTAACGTTCCACTGGATTTTATTAACGAGCTTCTTGACATAAACTTCAAGAGTATGCAGGCAAGAAGACTGTTTTCAATGCTTAAAGCCAACACTTACCTACCATGCTTCATGTTCAGGACCTCTTGCCAAGACATTAGGCCTAGTAATGCTATCTAAACCTCAAATTCTTCCATCTATATTCAAGCAGGTAAATTAATAACAAAAGAGGGTCTTGTTCTGTTAGTTTATGGATTTCCATGGATTGCCAGAAACTAAGCTAACAAATCATTGAGAAGCTTA